ACTCTACCCTGGCTGAAACCAGGACAGCTTGTCAGTTAATTAGGTCATGAATAAATTGGTAAACTGCTTCGAGTTGAACCATCCTGATTAGATTTAAACCACATGAACTGAGCACATTTTCCTTCTGACAGTTTTGCACCCTCTGCATTCTCCATACTGATCAACCAAAGTCAGCTGCCCACCCACTGCACAAAAGCAAGTATATTTTAGAGAAATAACAAATACAATGTAGTCTCATTTTTGAGCATCTGTGGTGCCATTCATTCTGTTCTCCAGTATGATGGCTGGGAATATTTTAAAATGTCACTTGAGAATCTCTCACTGCACTGTGAATGCAGTAGCTAGTGCCTTCCAGTAGCTCGTACCTTCTACAACAATACCAGCAAGCACATACATGGACCATCTTTCCAATGCAACAGAACTGTTGGATGGTTCAACTCTGCCTGCAGCCTGTTGTACATAAAAAAACATACTCCGACGGTATTTTCTATATACAGTTTAGGCTCATCCTCATTTGTAACCAGTTTTGTGCCCTGCTTTTTTGAAAATTTAACTGAAATGCTTGTGCTATTGCATTAGCTATCCCATTCCTTCCTCAGTGCACCCGTGCTTGCCCCTTCACAGGGAGAAAGAAGCTGATAGAACATGGAAGAGCAAAGGCTGGATACCCACCCCAGTCTACTCAGAGTACAATGAGATCTAGCAGGGATTCCTTATGATATGCTTAAGGACACTTTATCCTGCAGGGTTTTGAATCAAGTCGCCTTGAGCAGTGCTAGAACCACCATGTATGGCAGTGCCTTTTGTAGTTGTGACAAAGTAAAACTTCATGATCTGTAGTGCACAGGGATTCTGGCACCGTCTAGTGATCCCTTCTGACCTCCAGCTCCATAATGACAGGTCATTATGGAATCCCTCTGCTCAAAGCTCCATCCTCTTTTCATGAGCAATTAGTTAAAATCAGTGTTGGCAAGTTCTTTGTTGTGCTCTGTGTTGCTGGGCTCAGGCTTCACATGGGAGCTTGCCCAGACTGATTCACAGATATACTTTCCTGTGGTTTTTTGATTTCCTTTTGCAGGTTGTTGTGAGTTGGTTTAGCCCTTTGCTAGCAAATACCAACAGCATAGGTATTTTTCATACACATACTCACTCACCAGGGAAGAACAAACACCAAAGAGGTAAGGCCAGTAGTATGTCCTGTGAAACTGCTTGAATATGTGCAAAAGGAGCTTGTTTGAGCTGGAATGATCCTACTTTTCATCTGTTTTCGTTTGCCTTTGTGAGTTTCTGTGTTGCAACAAGCAACTTGTGAAATGTCCTGGCAGAGAAATGATGAAAATTCCCCCATCTTCATGTGCTGTGAGGAACACCCAGGATACGGCTTTTTCTGCACACTGGATTAGAGACTGTGAAGGAGGTGTGGAAGCTTCCACCAGTGTGGAAGCTTCCCTAGTGCAGTCTTCTGTGAAGGAGGAAGGCTGTATTTGTGGCCATATTTGTAATGTGGATTCTTGGTGGAGAAGAAAGATACTGTGGTAGAGAGAATGAATCGCCAAGAGAGAGTCAGTCCTGGAACTGCAGGTAACCACAAAGCCTTCATTTCTGTCCTCCTGTAGAAGAAAGAAGGGGTGGGGGAAAATACAGGGCTGGGATAGATAATGGGCATGGTACAGTGGCTGGCCTCATACCAGAAGAAGGGGCTTAGGACAAGAGCAAAGGAACAGATGAGGGAACTGGGGAGGGCCCGGGCTGGTGGAATGACCTTTTTCCCAGAGCCAAGGGGAACAAAAGTCCGGGCAGACTATGGTCTGCCATCCCCTTCAGTGATTTTTCTGTAAATGATGGGACTAAGAGTGCTAATCTACTATAATTATCCAGCTAAAACTATCTGCATCAAGCTAAGCACACGTCACTGCTCCCATCTCTGGTGTCTCTAAGGAGAACCAAATGAGGGCTCTCCCAAGAGCTTCAAAGTGCTCATTCTCCATGTGGAAACAATCTCTGTGTGTCTGCCTCTGCAAACACTGCGCTGGACAGTCACTCCTTTGAGCTAGTGCATAAAAGGGCTTGGGGGATAGAGCCAAAATAAAGGTAGTTGAGAGAAATAAACTCTAAAGAGAAATGGAGGGAGGTACAGAAAGAGCATTCAGTGAAAGACAGGTGTAATGGAGGGCAGCAAGGAAGATGTGTTAAGGAGAAAGGACGTATGACAGGACAAAGAAAGGAGGAGTGTGGTTTCAGAAGAGTACAGGCAGGGCTTGTGACAAAAAGTAAACTAAAAGAGCAGCTTCAGGGCAGTCCCCATGTTGCCCTACTCTGTGGATCTGACCCACTGCTAATGATGGGCAGCAGGAACTAGTTACAGCAGGACCTGTTCACAGCACCTGTGAGGTTCCCCAGTCCTTGAAACAAGGGTACCAGCAGGTTGTTGGGGTATGGAGCCACCTGGGTTATCCTGCCCCTGACTCTGGGCTGGGGGATTCCCATTCTCACCTTGTGTTTTGCAGCCCCAGCAGAAGAGAGAAGCTGCTCCTGGCTGAACCCCTGGGTCTTCCCTGTTTCTGTCCTTGCCATCAAAACTGCCTTTGTAACCATCTGCCTTGGTGAGTTCCAAGATCTCTTAATTCCCCTGGGATGAAGGGAGCAGCTGACTGCCTTTTGTCAGATGGAAAAACAATATCCTAGTCTCTCTCACACTGCTCCTCTCACTTTCTCACCTGCCTGAATAAAGCCAATCCTGGATGAAACCAGTCAGTTTCTCCCCTCCCACTAAGATCTGAGAAGCCTCTTTAGTGTCAGAGAGCATCTGACTAGGTTCCCCAAAGGCTGGCTGCTGGATGTTGGTTCTGTTGACCTGGTCTCTCTCTCAGAGCTCCCTGTGACAATGTTGCAGCCAAGGAGCCAGTGTGATCTCCTTGGAAATACTAGTATGAGGCTGCCCATATTTTAGTAGGATGGGGAAGAATCCATCAAATGCTCTAGCCACATCCCACCCACACTGCCTGGACTGACCAAAAGGAAAATCCTTTGCTTGTACTGTCCCAGTTTATTCATATTGCTCTGTGATGACTCTTCTGTCCTTCTTCTTAACTCTCTTGGGTGAGGCCTCAACAGTCAACAATTCTACCCTTTCTTGGTAGGCGTAAAAGTGGTGCTCTAAAGCTGCAATGCCCAGAAAGATTAAGAGTGAATGTAATTAATATTCACCTTTATTAAGCTATCCCATGATTTCTTTGACCCTTTCCTGACCCCATCCTCAAAAGATGTCTAAGCTGGTTTTGTCAGCTGTGAAAATGAGTCTCTCACTCAGCAGAGGTGAGAGACGTTCATCTGATGAATGCCTGTTCAAAGGAGGGAGTGACCAGCAGCGGGAGAAATGGCCTGCTGTTTCTGATCTCCTTGTTCAATACGTATTTCAGAGCTTGTTAATGTAACAGCATCTCTGTTGGGGCTCTAAACCAGAAGGTGGAGGATAGGACAGGTTGCTCATGAATGAGGAGGAAAGGGTGACAGCAACACTTTCCTTCTTTTTCCTCTCTCCCCAGTTGTTTTCCTTCATGGAAGCTATGGCCAGTACAAGAGTCTGCTCCAGAACCCTACGGAGTGGCACTGTGTCCCCAACGTATCTGCAGGCAAAAGTAAGTGATGCTAAGAGCCTCATAAGCAACACTAAAAACCTCACCAAAATTTACTTTAGTGTCAGTGAACCTTTGAGTTTGGGAATGTGATTGTCAGCCAGAGCTGGATTGTTTTAAGGAAGGAAGACGGAGAATCGAGGAAAGAAAATGCTGTATTGCACAATCTTACTTAGGATGCTATGAAAACATGTTCTGACCCAGTGGAAGAGGGTGGGTTGTTCCAGACCTACCTTTGACCACCCTTCCTACTCTTCCCCTCTCACTGGCCCTCACATAAACCCTCAACTGCTAGTTCAGTTCCCTAACCTAGCTGAAAGTGCTTCATCTTTTTGTAAGGGCTGGTTCAACCCAGCTCCCTGTGCTGGGTCACTGCCTGTTTACACAAGCATCATGGTCAGTGCGAGGGATAGAGGTAGGAATGGTAGGAGGATGTTGTTATGCAGTTTAGAGTAGCTGGAGAGCTGGGCTGCAATCACACAGGAAGTGATGGCAATGGCAAGTACTAGAATTCCTGCAGTGCAAATTCCCAAATTCAATTCAGAGATCTGTTCTCGCTTGTTCACTGCATTTAGAAACAGGTTGCAGTTTGCACAGAGGCTAACCCCTACTCATTGAGTGCATCTGAGCTAGCTGTTCAGACTCTCTTTACAGTCCATGATAAAAAGGTGTTTGCAAGTGTAAAATAGGCATGGTCCACCTATTCTTATGGTGGACATGTACGGAAGGCCAGACAAACTGTGTTCTACACATGCTCAATTTGCTGTTCCCTGTAAAAAAAACCTGCCTAGGGTTTTTTTAAACCTTGTCCATGAGGCACAAGCATGTTCATCGAACAGAAGACAGACTCTCCCAACCAACACCCTTAAGAATTCAGAAGAAATTGTTCAGCATTGTTTAGTCATGTGGGAAAACTTTAGCTTTCATTGTGGAATTAGGAATGGATGGAAAAGTTTTGCAGAGTACATGATGGCTATAGGCAGTTCCAGTAAAAAATCAGGGTGGGCAGCACACAGACAGAGCGCTCCAAGTTCCTTAGACTACTTGTACTTGATTTTGCATATTTTCTGATGCTCTCTAGTGCCACAGTTCCTCTTTCTACAAATGGTGCATAATGGTGCACCTTGAGTGGATCTAATGTATAAGAGCACAGGCAGGTTAACAAAAGTTTTGCTAGCTGTTCCACTCACTGGACTCTACTCCCTCCATTTGGTGCCAAGAATAGGATGTGAGATTCTGTGCTGTGAAGACAGCTCTTGAAGGGCACAGGGTTATCTGAGTCCACCTTGTAGTATGAATATGATGTGCTTGTTTGCTGTGGGTGGTCTGGAGTGTTGGCTTGACCAGGGTGTTGTCACTGCATGCAACCCCTGGAAGAGCTTTTGACTGGGAAACCCAAGAAAAGAGTCCCTGTGAGGTCTGAGATTCAGAGTAAGCATTTAAGGTAGCACATGCAAAGGTGTGTTTGTTGACTTCATTGGATGAACTTTTCAGCCTGATATATTCAATACAGAGATATATTCAGAGTATGATATATACAGCTCATAGATACAGACATACAGCCTCAAAGCATGTAGCCTCATGTTTTGAGATAATATAGCTATGTTTTTTTAATCTGTCATGTGACTTTCTGGCTGTAAGGCAGATCTCTAGGAAAACCTGGCTAGTATAAGGAACTGCCTGTGGGGGCAGAAAGGCTGTCAGAGCAGTTTACTGTACATGTCTGTCAGTCTGCATGAATTGAGAGCTAAACACTTGGACAACATTTCTCTGATGGAAGTGTTCTCAGAGGAGCACAAGCCAAGTCCTTCCCATCTTGCATCCTCAGGAAGGGTAAGGCAGAAACAATGTCTCTCACCAAACAGCAGTTGCATGGACATGGCAGAACAGAGAAAAGGAAAGGCACTTCAGGCAGGGGACTTGTGACAGGAGCCTGTCAGGCTGTTGACAGCTCTACTGTGGAGCTGGAGCATGGAAGAGAGCATTTACTGCTCTCCAGATTAAAAGTGTGGTTTAAACCCCTCCCAGCATGGAGCTCACCAAGATGAAGGACAGCACATCTTGTTCAAAAGCACGATTTTTTTCCCCCCACAGAGGAAAGCTGGATATGCTGCCCGACGGGCTGGAAACGCTTTCAAAAAAGCTGCTATTATCTGTCGGATGATATGATGGGCTGGGCTGAGAGTGAGCAGAACTGCAGTGGGATGGGCTCCCGCCTGGTGGTGGTCAACAGCGAAGCAGAGCAGGTACGTGCAGGGCTGAGAGAGGGGCACAGCAGCCAGAGACACGGTGCCAGGCCCTGGAGGGGGCTCAGAGCCCCTCGGTGCGCCTGCGGGGGAGGGGGCCTGTCGTTTCTGCACCCCTTCAGCACCGGCTCCCCTCTGCCAGCAGCCCCAGCCCACAGGGACTCCTGCCGCCTCCCTCTGCGCAGTCCTGCGCCTCATGGACGTTGTGCTTTTTCCAGGAGTTCCTCTTCAACTTGGCAAAAGGAATATTTACTAACGCCTATGAAACAAAATACTACATAGGCTTAACTTACGAAAATGGGCAATGGCAGTGGGTGGATCAGACTCCATATAAGAAGGCAGCCACGTGAGTATCCTGGGGGAGTGAGGAAGGTCCTGTAATTCACATCCCTCAGTTCAAGTGACCAATACACTGTATAAGGCAGGTGTGTGTCAGAGAGGGGTCTCTGTCCCTAACTGCACTGTAAGTCAGAAAACTTCACTGGTTTTCTAGTCAAAAACATGACTAGTCTTTGCCTTGCCGAAGCTCCTGATCTCTGTTACAGTAATCGTCCCCTTTCTCTTCAACAACTGTTTGAAGTGACTTTACTCCCACTGTCATACACGCCGCTGCTTTCCCAATAGAGGAACTCTCTTTTACAGGTTCTGGAAACCTGGGGAACCCAATTTACTCTTTGTAGAAAAATGTGCTGCGATTCACATCAAGGGAAACACAGACTCCAGTACTTACAGTAACTGGAATAACATCCTTTGCTTCACAAGTTGCTATCGAATTTGTGAACAGGCAGTCAAATTGGTCTGAGGAAGGAAACTCCACTTTGGATGAAGGAGAGCTTGAGAAAGGACAGCTCATGAAAGAGCTGATGAAAAGCTGGTCTGAACCCACACAAACACTTTATCTTGCAATGTAGGATGAGCAAACCTGACACAGAAACCCAGCTCTGAAAGACCTCCCAGCCTATGCCCCTTCATCTCTTTCCAAGCTGAAGATTAGTCCTGGATGAAATTGCTCAGGTTGATGTCAAGGACCTACTGTGCCCCTTTGCACTCTCCTTAATAGATGGGTGCACTGATCCTCCAGTACTTTCCTTGACTCCTTGTCCACTCAATATCTCAATGATGCAGAAAAGGCCCTCTCTCTGTTTCATGGAAGGATACTGGTCCTACGAGTCACTGGAGCAGAATTTGAAATAAGAGCATTCAGTGGAGTATGCTAGGCCCACACCTGAAAGGAACAATTATTCATGGATTATCTTTAACGTTTCCTTCTTCCTTCAGCATAGTTTGTGTTGATAAGTTAAAAAACCATATCAATAAATGTTAATTCTGCTCTTTGCCTGAGGCTGTCTTCTCAGTGACAAGTCCCAGCCCCTCGCCAACCCAGCCTCTCTACATGGTGGATTTAACTTTTCAGTATGTTTGGCACCTACAGGTGAGAATATTACTGTGAGTGCACTGGACTGGCCAGGAACAAGAACAATCTAGTGTTCATTTGCAGAGCATTTCAAAATATGTGAGAAAGGCTGTGAACCTTTTTGGAGAATCAGGTGTGAAGGAAGCAAGAGAGCAGGCTGTGTAGTAGTCAGGGCCAACAACTGTTTGCCCAGGATGTAGCAGAAAGGAGACAGATTTTGGAGGTCCTGCTGAGACATGTGGCAGGATTAAGCATGGCAATGAAGGGGAGAGAAAGCAATCAAATATCACATGAAAGACAAAAGCCAGAGTCTCCCCAGGAGGGATTTCTAATGTGAGAAAAGGGTGGACCAAAAGCTTGGCTGTTGCAAGGTCTTGATCTCCTATTTTCTAGAGTTGCCAGGATCTTTTCACAATGGAGAAAACTTTGTTGTCCTGTACAAGACAGCAAACAAAAATATTGCAATGGACTTCTCTTTTTTGTTTCCCCCAACTCAGCAGCAGGGTTTTGAGGAAGAAAACTACAGCAGCAGCGTTTTGAGGAAGAAAATGGGACAGAAAAGATGCACAGAGAGTGACCAATGTTTTACAGGAAGTTTTAGAAGCAGATGCAGTTCTGACTGCTGGGAAGTGGTATGGGACAGAGCAAAACTTGCACAAGAAAACTAGTTTGCAAGAAAATGTAACTTGCTAGAAACAGTCTCCATGCCCCAAATTTGGAATGCAAAGTTTTTCTTGAGGTGTCCTGACAAAAGAGGGATCTTGGGAGACAATACTGGGTTTGCCTGCAGAAGTGCTGAAAGGAAGTTCCTGATCCCACCTCCTTGCAAACACACACACATATACATGCATACACAAGTACAAACCCATTCTTTTACAGTAGTTGTACAATACAGCAAATGAAAGTAGGCAGAATTGGTCCCTGTCCCTGTTTTGTGCAGCCACTGTTGAAGGGTAAGTGGTAAAACTCTCAGCAAGAATTTCAGGCATATCTCTGAGTAAAGCCAATGTCCTTGACTAGTCAACTCCAGCAGCAGCATTTGGGGTTTAGGTAGGGATGGACTCTGTACACAGTAGGTGTTTACACACATGTAGACTAATGCAAAAGACTTCCTCTTTGATATGGATTTATCTGAAAGAAGTACCTTTCTCCAACATACTAGAAACAGGCATTATGTGCCAAGTCTGTCTTGTTTATTGTATTGCCTAGCAATACACCTCATTCTCCTACATATTGCTTCTTTCCGCAGAAGAAAGCACAGCCAGTTCTCCCCACACGCTCAGTCCTACTCTGCAAGTCTCTTTGACATTTCCCAGTGGGAATCTTGTTGTGGGGGAGGTGGTCATGTCCCCTGATGTTTTTGTCTGACCTGCTCAGACAGCAGCCTAGGTAGAAAGGGAGGTTGCTTTTCTTCCTGCTGCTGGCAAGCACTATATCCATTGATGATCAGCAAGAGATGGAAAGAAAATGCCAGGCATCACTGGGGAGAGAGAGAGAAGCAAGAGTGGAAAAGAAACACTACTGCATTCTGTTTTCAGAAAATATGATTAAAATATGTATCCTGTGTGAGTTAGTGCAGAAGACGACATTCATTGTGTCCATGGATGGCATTAAGCAGGAGAAGGCAAGACTGGTGCAAATACTGTCACCTGGCTTGAAGGATCACATGGAAGAGGAGTGGTGGTGCAGGGTCTATTGCAGTAACAGTGTATTCACCCTCTTAAAAAATTCTGTATTGCCTTGGAAAGCACTGGCACATGCTGGCTTACCTTCCTTCTTCCTGTTCTGACAGCTGATTCTTCTTTATAGGATACACCTGACTGTCTCTACTAAACAATGATCCTTGACAAGCCAAGTGAAGAAATAAAGTTAAATGTATGTGTTTTTCACTGTCTTTCTTTTTAAGGACTTTTCTATAAAAATGCCCTCTGAGGGTCTCTGATACTTTTTATACAACGCAGGCATTTCTCTCCTACTATTTTTCTCTCTTTTACCTCACCTCAAATTCTTCTCTGTTCCGTTACAACATTTATTCCTCTACTTTTTCATGTTTCTTTGCACTCCTGCTGTCTCTCATACTGTTTCCCCCTTTATTCCTTTTTTTTTTCTTTTTAACTTGGTTTCCTTTTCTTGCCTGACCACAGATGAGGACCATACAATGTTGTTTTGGGAAATAAAGGACAGAACTGGCATTTAAAGGAGTTCTGACACTGCAAACACGTCTGTTCTGGCTTTTACAAGTTTATAAGAAAAGAGGAAAGAGGAGATTATTGAATATATGAAACACTTTTTTATTTAATATGCAGACAGTCCACATACCAGAGCAAGGCTTTTCACCTTCTGTTTTTGTGCTGACACAACACCTTGCTCTCTCTTAGCTGCTTAATTACAAATCATTTCTCTTGCCATGCTTTTGGACAGCCTCCCAGTTTCCTGCAAAGGCCTTAGCTGATTATGAGGTCCAGTAATCCAGCACCACCTCTTGCTCACAGCAAGTCACCAGATGCTCTTTCTCAGTGTCACTGTGATTTACGTTCACCTGAGGGTAATGGACACATGCTGGGGGACAATGAGTGGTGGGAAGGCTGTTGTGGTGAGAGTGATGATCTGTGTGATGTGAGACTCTAAAGTCTCACATTGTAAGGGTCTCCCACACAGCAGAGACTTTTCTACTTTTTTGTCACCTCAGGGCTTGATCTCTGCCATACCTCTACACACCCTGGTCCTCCACACTGCCCATGTTGTTCCACATTGACTGGTTCAGAATGAGACAGCTTCTCTCCAGGAAAGGCAATGCTGTGGGCAATTATAAGGCTCAAAGAAATTACAAGAGATAGAACTAAATTTTATTTCCAACTTGAAATGAAATGGTTGGGTCCTTCCAGCTCTTCCAACAAGGACTAGGAGTCTCTGGAGAGAAGAGGAGTATATTTCTTGGCTGGAAAAGGAAAAGGGTCTACAGGGCAAGAGTCCCTGTAGAGCACTGTCAGAGCTATGTGAGGTGCCCAGAGCTAGAGCAGCAGGTCAACGGCTCAATGTCCAAATGGACACTGGTGACGAGTGGTGTCCCTCAGGGGTCTGTATTGGAACCAGTACGCTTTAATAACTTCATCAATGACACAGACAGTAGGATTGAGTACACCCTCAGCAAGTTTGCAGATAACACCAAGCCGAGTGGTGCAGTTGACACACCTGAAGGATGGCATGCCAACCAGAGGACCCTGGACAAGCTTGAGAAGTGGGCCTGTGTGAACCTCTCCATCATTTACCAGTAGTCCTGGTTAACAGGGGAAGTCCCAGATGACTGGAGGCTTGCCAATGTGACACCCATATACAAGAAGGGCCAGAAGGAGGAGCCCAGCCCCTGATCTCCTTCTATGACCAAGTGACCTGC